AGAGATGAGAAATAGTAAAGCTAAGCAATGACTTATGGGAGGAGTTTATTTGCCCCCTAACAGCAACCACACTGTGTGATTGGGTAGACAGGAAGAAATAACTGGGGCTTATGACAAAGGTACAGCAATTACGATGGCTGATTTTAATCTACATATAAATTGGATGTATCAGTTTGGTAATTATAGCCTGGAGGATGAGCTTATAAAATTGGGATAATTTCCGTGAGCAATATGAAGCTCAGTCCTTCAGTATGTTGAAAGTAGAGCTTGATAGATTTCTGGTTATCAATAGCATAAAGGGTTACGGGGATAGTGTGGGTAAAAGGCATTCAAGTGTTTGATCAGTTATAACCATATTAAAGGACAGAACATGCTCAATGGTCTGAATGGCCTACTACCTATTCTGTCTTCCTATTGCATAGCACCTTTTACAACCTCTGGATATCTTAAAGCACTTTACAGTCAATGAGTTATTTCTGAAGTTGAGGCTCTATTTAATGTGGGAGTCTTGAGCGTGCTAAATTAGTATTTATTTTTGTCAGCTAAGCTGTAAAACAAAATGGATGGTATTGATAAAACAAATAAAATGTGGATGCTGGAGATCTGAAAGAAAAACAGAAATTGGCAAAAATCAGCAGGTCTGTGGGGATAAAGCAGAGTTAATGTTTCCGGGATAGTAGGAACTGCAGAGGCTGGAGAATCTGAGATAACAAGGTGTAGAGCTGGATGAACACAGCAGGCCAAGCAAAATGTTTCCGGTCAGTTTTGATGAAAGACACCAGACTCAAATGTTAATTCTGCTTTCTTCCCATAGATGCTGCCAAACTGCTGAGTTTCACCAGTATTTTCTGTTTTTGTTTTGGATATTATTGATATCTATTCTAACTCACTGTGAGTCTTTTATTCACTGAGGGACAAGGCAGTATTGTGTGGCAGGCTTCATATTATACAATGCCTTTTGTATTTGTGTGAAGGGTGATGTTAAAAGGAATCTAATCTACTGACAGACAATTAAATTATAAGATACAGATATTTCAGTTTGAAGTGATTTTTTTCCATTGTGCCAGGACAAAAAGCAAAAAAAAAGTGTGGAAATTCTGAATACTTTCTAGATTTCTTTCCACAATGTTTAATTTATTCTGGGACAAGTAATGTATTCTACTCCAATACTGGCATTTGTAACCCAACAATTCATTAAATCATTGTGACTGAGAGTTTGATTCATGTTGTTAACATGCTTCCATTGAGAAGCTGCATCTACATAACTATTTGTAATGAGACCACAAATCTTTCGCCATTTATTGCATTTTGCCACACGCTGTACGCAGAAGTACTGGCGACTGGCTAAATCTATAACTTAGCACAAAAAACAGTTTCTACTTTTCTCTTCTGGACTTTTCCCTGTTCAGCAATCACCCACTGAGGCAGAACCCTAAACCCACAACCAAACTAACTAATCACCCTGAGAACAATATACAAAGACTGCCGTCAGGGGCAATGTAACAATAGCAAATATCCAAAAATGGGGGGAAATCACAGGAGGGACACAATCAAAATAGTGTCAGAGAAGGACATTATGCACTCCAACCTCTGCAGTGCCCACCAATCCCTAAAGGCTTTGAGGCTACCAGTGGACACCACATGCTCCCTTTCTAAGGACATCTAAGGGGTAGACATAGCTGCAAGAGAGGGGAAGTCAGTTGGGAACTATGACCCTCCCCACAGCTCATTGCCTGGATCTGTTGATGGCTACTTTAGCCAGGCCCAGGAGCAGGACCATGAAGAGGTCCTCTGACCCTCAGCCCCCTCCACACTGCGTGACCAAATTTCAGGAGTATGGAACTGAAATGTAAACAAAGGAAAAATAATAAGGTTTTATTTTTATTTAACCAAACCAGGAGAGCAACCTTCTACAACCTGTGCATGTAGAGTTTTTTCCTGCAATTTCTGTTTTTGTTTCTGATTTCCAGCATCCACAGCTCTTTCAGTTTTTATTTAGCCCCAGTCAGGGATCTCATGCCTTATGAGGTCCACCTGGCTGACCTCATTCCAACCAATGCAATACCTCACTCCTTCCTGGCCTCAACTACTTTCCATGGCAGAGAATTCCACAGACATGCACCACTATCTGAGTGAAGAAATTTCTCCTCATCTCAGTCCTACATGGGCTACCGCATATCCTTCGACTGTGCCCCATGGCTCTGGACTCCCCGGTCATTGGGAACATCTTCCTGTATTTACCCTGTCTCATCCAGATAGAATTTTATAGGTTTCTATATTCTAGGACCCCATTCTTCTAAACTGCAGCAAATAAAGTCTTAACCAATCCAGTCTCTGTTCATACACCAGTCCTGTCATCTCCGAAATGGGTTTCGTAAACCTCAACAACCAGTTAACCCCCAACAATGAAGTGACAGTTAAAATAATGTAAAGTATGAAGAAAAGCAGCAAAATAAAAAGGATATTGTGTTGCCAGTTCTTGTTTGTAAATAGTACCTAAAAGATGAAATGACCATTTCTTATAATGCTGAAATTTCTATAATTTGGTGAAAGTTCCAAGATTTGTGTGTGTTGAGAATGATTTATTCAATCAACCTGCTTCATCAATAACCCTCCCTCCATCATTAGGTCAGCAGTGAGGATGTTTATTGATGATTGCACAATGGTCAGCACCATTCGCACATCCTCAGATATCAAGGCAATCCATGTCCATTTGCAGCAAATATTCAAATTTGAGTTGACAATTGGCAGGTAACATACACATCACACAAGTGCCAGCCAGTGATCATGTCTAGCAAGAGAGAATCTAATCATTATCTCTTAACAGTCAATGCTTTACTGGTACAGAATGACCTATCATCATCACACTGGAGGTTATTATTGACCAGAAACTGAGCTGGGAAAGCCATATAAATACAGTGGCAGGTCAGAGGTTAGAAACTCTGCAGCATATAACTCAACTCCTGCCTCTTTTAAGCCTGTCTACCATCTACAAGGCAGAAGTCAGGAGTGTGTTGGAACACTCCTCACTTGCCTGGATGGATGTGGCTCCAAAAACACTCAAAAAGCGTGACACTATCTAAGGCAAAGCAATCCACTTGATTGGCACCATATCCTCAAAATTCACTCCCTCCACCAATGACACTGAGCAGCAGCTGCGTATATCAGCTATAAGGCTCCTAAGACAACACCTTCCAAATTCATGGTCACTACTAGCTAGAAAGGCAAAGACAGCAGACGCATGGGAACACCATCACCTTCAGATTTCCCTCCCAGCAGTTCACTATCCTGACTTGGAAGTATATTGCCGTTACTTTACTGTTGCTGGGAACTCCCACCCTAACAGCATTGTGAGAAACCTACACCAAATGGACTGCAGCATTCAAGAAGCAGTTGAGCACTACCTTATCAAGGGCAACTGGTGATTGGCAACTAATGCTGGTCCAGCCAATAAAACCCATATCTCTGAATGAATGGATAAAACAATGACATTTACACATTAACTCAGTTGTGTCCACATGCCTCACACAGTAAAATTTTCTGATCTGGAGGGCAATTAAAGGAATGTGGAAATTCATTCAATAATTACTTTTAAAAGGATATTGGAAATTTACTTAAAAAGCATTCTTTCTCAAGGGAAAGAATGAGGCAATGAGATTGAGTATACAGAGACCAGGTACAGGTTGGTATTTCGTCTCCTGTACGTTGTATGATTCTAGGCACGATGTGGTGTAGGATCACTGATTTACATCATTTAGTGAGATTTACGGGACTGGAGGTGGAGCGGGAGGCTTAGCTTCCAGCTTTGGAAATCAGCTGACGTATGAAATGTGTTATCGACCAAAATTATTTTGTACCATTGCTGAACATTAAAATTACCCACTTTGTGTAAGAACGGTTCTTTTTTTACAAGTACAATTTCACAAGTTATTTCACATTTAGTCTGTCAGCAGACTGCCTTAGCATTGGGTGTGATTGAATGTACAGCAGTATTTGAAATTAAGCATCACTAATTATGTTGCCTGAAAAATGATTCAATTTCTTTTTCATTCACGGGATGAGAGTATTGCTGGCCAGGCCAGCATTTATTGCCCATCGGGCAGTTAAGGGTCAACCACATTGCTGTGGGTCTGGAGTCACATGTAGGCCAGACTGGGTAAGGATGGCAGTTTCCTTCCCTAAAGGGCATTAGTGAACCAGATGGGCTTTTCCAACAATCACCAATGGATTCACGGTCATCTAGACTCTTAATGCTAGATATTTAATTCAAATTCCACCAAATGCCATAGCAGGATTTGAACCCAGGTCCCCAGAACATTAACTGGGTCTTTAGGTTAGCAGTCCAGTGATAATACCACTAGGCCATCGCCTCAATTATGTCATACTTCTTACCAGGATTGGATAATTGTAGTTATGAGGAGAGATTGGAGACATTGGTGTTGTTTTCCTTGGAACAGAGAAGGCTGAGGGATGATAATGGTTGAGGGATACAAAATTGCGAGGAGTAGAGATAGATAGACAGGAGGAACCTGTTTCCTTTGTCAGAGAATTCAAAAACCAGGGGTCATAGATTCAAGCTAATTGGCAGCAGGATTAGAGGGGATGCAAGGAAAAACCTTTTTATGCTGAGGGCGGTGGGTGTCTGGAACTCACTGCCTGAGTTGGTGGTGGAGGCAGAGACCCTAAACTCTTTTGAAAAGTACCTGGATTTGCACCTTAAGTGCTATAAGCTGCAGGGCTATGGGCCATGTGTAGGAAGATAGGATTAGAAAGGGCATTTGTGTGTCTTTGGGTCGGCATGGACAAGGTGAGCTGAAAGGCCCACTTCTCTCCTGAATCAGTTCTGTGGTTTTATGGTACTTCTAAAGTTGGGTGCTTTTCAAAATGTTCTTACATCATAAAGTTAGGATTCAAATACATATAAAGGCACGAATGAAGATCTTTTAAACAACCCAGACAATCAATGGCCATAAACGGGCTACATTTTTTTCTTTACTTACCCTGCTGATTGAGAAGAGAAGGCCTGGTTTTCCAGTACAGGTTCCCATGAAACAGTGCCTTAGGCTCCAGTAGAACCAATGCTCCCACACAAAGGTGATCAGGCTTAAAGCCATAGCAGCAGCCAGCATGTAAAACACGCCTGCCATGTTGTCAACATCCAACTGGCTGCTCATGACTTCATTCTTCTCATTGTGACAGATTCCAGTCAGCCACAAACTCTCCAGCTCTTCCATTTCACCTGCATGTGAAACACAGAGCCACCCAGATTCAGTACATGTACATGGTTCATCCACAAGGCAGTGCCAATGATAGTTACATTCACCTCCCATTGACATTGCCAAAGCTCCTAATACATTTCTTCTCAAATTGAAAGAGATGTGTAACACAGTTTATCATGGGCTTTGACTCTAGATTAATGGAGAGAACCGAGAAATGATTGAAACGTAGAAAAATTACATCTCTGGTCCCCATTTTAACACAGAATGAGATTCAGGAGGATTGAGTGCACCACGAGGCCTAGGAATTTATAAATATAGACTCTGGAACATCTTTGTTAACCTGTTCATTGCCATTGCAAAGTACTTGTTGTTTATTTATAATGGAAAATGTCCACCTATCCAAGAACACATCAATTTAACAGCAATGTGTTAACAATTACCATGGACTTTGTTGGCAAGTATTAGCATGCGACACACCATATGTGTATAAAAATCATTTATCCTACCATTTAGACCTGTTCAGGATAAATAGGTTACTGTACACTAAAACAATACAAAGGGATTCATATAAATATATTGAACAATTGCACATTAACATTTGCAGACCATCACTTCAAGATCAACAACTCCAATGAGGTAAATGGATCACAGAAAAATTAACAAAAATGTAGAGATCATATGAATCGGCAACAAATGATGCCACATTAACAATGCAGCCTACAAAACCATGGTATCATACGAGCAGACAAAAACAGGTGAGATTGTGTATTTGTTACACTAGAAAAGTGGTTACTACCAATAATTAACTAAATTACTAAACATGCTTTCCATATCAACACAACATATAATCCAAAAATGTTTGTGTAGACTTAGCTCTCAGAAAGCTCTTTTGTCCCATGTTTAAACCAGTTGTCAATTTATCCAGTTTGCTATTATATTGAACAAAATGTAGATTCATATCTCAAATCAATTTAACTGCTTTTGCTCCCTATGCTTCCTCACCAGCAAAGATGCAGTCTAGAGATTTCTTTTTAAGTGCCTCAAGGTTGTGGCAAACTGGACTGATTGTGAGTTTTAAAACTGTTCTAAACTCATCAAGGTTACCTTTGCCAACTATTCATATTACAAGGAAACCCCATCAATACTGAGAAATGTGAAATAACAACTGGCAACATTGAGCACATTAGCCTTTCAAGGACAGTCAGGAAACTTAAAATACTCATTTGTTCAAAAACTTAGACTATCTGTATGAAGATATGTATGTCAATGAAAGACAAAATTAATGTCAGTCCAGCTTATCATTTACTCCTTGTGAAATGGGAATTCCTACTGACACCAAGGATATAGGACGTATTCTCAGTGTTTGATTTATCCTCCAGCAGAGAACACTTAGAAACATTATCCTTTTAGGGGCATTATTTCTCACTGGGGACAAGCAGAACTTAAGAAAAAAACATTTTTATTTTATTCATTATTCTTCACATCAGAGTTTTGAATAAGGTCATGAACATGACCATATTGGTCCCCTTGTGTATGCAGTTTTATAACCTACGATTCCCCATATGCTGGGTTTATGAGCTCAATGTACCACTGTGGGCAGCCACCAAGTAAAAGCTGGATATCCTACAGGGAAACAAATATCAAATAGACAAGATTTGCTTCTGCCTGCTCTTAAAAACATTGAAGATCTTAGATTGATCCCCAAACTAGTTGGTTAACTATAAAATGAGATCTCAATACTTCTCTTAAATATAGGTTTATTCACAGAATGCAGCAGTACATATCTATATACCAATGGTGTCCCAAAAATCTCCCTATATACTGTTTTAGATAAACCAATAGAGCCAAATCAAGCCAAATTAAAAGTATTGTAGTCTGTTAAGAGGTCATAGCCTTCCTTAATGCTATTTTAGTAAAAACGATAAAACAAATTAAGCCAAATGTCTCTTTAAAGGAGCACGGTAACTCAAGATAAAAGCACAAAGAAAGCTTAGTAAATCAAATTAAAGTTTGCTTTTTATGGGGTGATAATGCACTCCAGCTGTTACAGTGCCTACCAGTTGTAGGTGGCCTCCAGCATACCAGTGGAGAGCGCATGCTGCATCTCATAGGCCACCCAGACGTAACCACAGAAGACATCTTGGAAGCTGGCTCCAAAAACAACATTCACAACCTGCTGCCTGAACTTATTAATGACCAAGAACCCGAGCAGACCCATGAGAATGTCCTCCACACTGGGTAACAGTCTCTCTTTATAAGTACTCTAAATATTTGATTAAACAATGCCCTTCACTTGTGCATCTTAGCAATATAACTAAGATACTATTACTGAAAACTGGTTCAATAGCATAATAAAATCTGAAAGAACAGCGTATGCTGTAAATCAGAAAACAAACCCCAGAAATTGCTGAAAAAGCTCACAGTTCTGGCAGTATTTGTGGAGAGAAATCAGAGTTAACGTTTTGTGTCTGGAGTTCTGAGGAAGGGTCATGAGACCCAAAACGTTAACTCTGATTTCTTTCCACAGTTGCTGCCAGACCTGCTGAGCTTTTTCAACAATTTCCATTTGGTTCAATAGCATTATAGCTGAAGCTTTTGTCACTAATTGGGAGATATGTTAAATAGATTTCTGCTTCACTAACATCCGGTATATATTGCAAGCAATCAAACTTACCCACCAGCCAATACCTCCCTAATCTACCCCCATGAGTCAAGACTGGATCATTAGAGAATTAAAAAATAGTAAGGAGTAAATTAAGTCACGATTTTAATTGGAGATTTTTGCAAAGAATGGCAACTGTCTAGAAGTTTTAAGATAATCATTTGTATTATTTGTAGTTAGGCGTCTCACTCAGATGAAATGTCACCTTGTCAATCTCTGTCTTGGATTGGAACTGAAGAACAAATAAACAGAAGGAAGAAGAAAATCTCTCATTGAAAATCAAGCTTACAAGTAAATAGCATGTAAAATCTATGCCTGCAGCACACTCTTAATCAGAGTTTGACCTTCGGTGGAGTGGCCTTTACAAATCTCATTATGTTTTCATTGTCTGCATTTGTCTGGTAGACCTAAGATGTATTATGATATGTTTCAGTTGTCGTGTAGAATTCTGAAGTGTTCACTTGACTTAACGCTATTTGTAAGATAACCACTCAATGCTTTATGAAAAGTGAGTCTGTGTCATATCCAATTGTCAGTACCATACATGTACTGTCCAGTTTCTGTTACCCTGGAGTGAATTACAGAGTGTTCTTTATACCCGACTTTCTGATTGTTTTGCCACATTGTGCAAGGTCAATCACATCTAATTACCAGATTGTTGATCTGGTTACCTGTGTACACTGGTTTCACAAGTTTACTAGCCTGAGTGTATCTCCTCTTTGGGCAATCAGATTTGACTTTACGATTGCGACAACAAATATTTACTGTTGCAATGTAAAGCTGGTAAAGCTCCCTACAATGGTCAGGAAAGATGAGGTATTACTTGAGCAGTTTCAGTGCACAGGAGGGACTTTAAGCAAGGGTACTTTCAAGTTAATTAAAGCACTCTATGTAATCATTCTGCAGATTCTCCATGAGGATGGCAAGAACTAAAGTTCAGTGCCAACATTCAGACACCTCTCCTTGAAATTATCTCCAGACAGCTGGATTACACACACCTAGGGTACTGCAATAATTTAGAAAGGATCTTTCTAGATGATATGCATTTTGAAATTAGAAGCTTTCCTTTTGTTCCTGTTTGCAGTGCTCCTCTGCAGCTGTTAGTTCCAGATCCTCCAAAGCAACAGTCTTAAAAAAAAGACAGAAATATCACATGGGTTGTGACCCAGTGCAGCTACCCAACAGGGAACTCATTCAGTCAAGTGCTCTCTTATTTATCTACAGTGTCCTCCACCTCATCCCAAATTTTGGCCATTTAACATCAAACTCTAATTTCCAGGCACACCCAAGACAGTACATCTGTTTTAAAACAGGATTTGGAACAGAAAGATGCTAAAGTAGTACAGGAACAGACCCTGCAAAATCTGCTGTATTCAGCTCTAGAGAAATTTGAACTAAGTAAAAACCTGGCATTAGAATGGTTTTGGTCCCTTTATCTAAGGAAAGATATAGTGGCATTGGAGACAATCCAGAGAAGGTTCACCAGGTTGATCCTAGGTATGGAGGAACATTCTAAAGGAAAGGTTGAGTAGGTACTCATTGAACTTTAGAAGGATGGGAAGTGATCTCATTGAAAGATTTAAGATTTTTAGGGGATTTTACAGGGTTAATGTAGAGAGGTTGTTTCTGCTTTTGGGAGAGTCAAGGACCACAGGATATAACCTTGGAGGAAGGGGTCACCCAGTTAGGACAGAGGTGAGAAGGAATTTTTTTCTCTCAGAGGGTAGTGATTCTATGGAATTTCTTACCACAGAAGGCTGTCTGGGCTGGGTTGTTAAGTTTATTCAGGCTGAGATAGAAAGATCTTTAACCTGTAAGGCAATCAAAAGTTATAGAGAAAAGACGGGAAAGTGAAGTAGAAAATTTTCAGATCAGCTATGTTCTCATTGAAAGGTAGAGCAGACTCAATGGGCCAAATGGCTTAATATTGCTCCTATGTCTTACCATCTTATTAACAACCATGTAACCATTGTCAATGGTCACAAAAACCCATCTTGGTTCACAAATGCCCTTCAATGAAGGAAATCTGCCAACCTTCCCTGGTCTGGCCTACATGTGACTTTAGCACCACAACACCATGGGTGACTGTTAACAGTCCTCTGGGAAATTTGAGATGGGCAATAATGCTGGCTGAGCCAACGACATACAAATCCCTTAAACAATTTTTTTTTAAAAATTAACCTTTCCAAAAATGGGAATATTTTCCCATTTCCATTCCTTTTTGAGTCTTTAACACCTCTTTCAAAACATTTGTCAGCATCTCATAAATCTTCCGGCTCCTGAGTGCTGTTCAACTTTATCCATCCTGGAAATTGATTGGTTTTTGATGCTATCACATACTAATGAACTCAGTGGTAG